TTTTGAATTTATTTTTTTTTTAAAAAAAAGTTAAATTGGAAACTTGATAAAAAAAAATAAAGAAGAAGAAAAGGGGTATTGTGGAGAGCTAGGTAAATAGTTGAAATAGACATAGTTAATTTGTTGGCGTGTGGGTTATGAAAGTTGGCCCATTTTCACTCATCACGTGCGGTTGCAGGCTTTGGCTCGCGCACACCTCAAGGCAGCACCAATTGCGCCCCCTCCCACCCTCCACATCCGCGCCGTAGCTTTCTCCTCCTTTATTATACCATATAAGGACTCTAATCTATGCCTTACTTCTTCGTTTCATTGCACTTAATTTGATTAATAATGTACCTAGTTAATGCCCTTTAATTATATACTTTACAATGCTCCTGAAAATATATTTTTTAAAAATTAAATAATACTTATGATGTCCTGCAAAAAAAAAGAGTTATTTTCATGTTTCGAATAATTAAAAGTTACGTTAATCTCTCTATTGTTTTACTCCGATAAAAAAAAAAATACACCGTTAAGTTTCATGGATTAATACATTTGATATTATACAAGGATGTAAATCCAACAATTTTTGGTACAAAGGAAACAAATGTTGATCACCCATTATTTGTTGTTTGTATTGTTGGCAAAATAAGGGATATCAAAGGGTAAAGTGTCTTTTTTTTTTAAAAAAAAAAAATAGTTCCCTTTTTTAAATAGCATCCAAACTTTACAAATATTCGATTAGATTTTTTCATTGTTACTTTAATTCATATACGAATATCTTAGAAACTACTTATTAAGTATTCGTACTTGTTAAGTATTCAATTAAAATAAATTAAAAATTGATTTATATGTATATTATTAATGAAAATTAAACTAATAAATTAAAACTAGTTCATGAAAAATAAATGAAAACTTAAAATCAAACTTAGAATAATTAATGAATTTTAATATTAAGTATTAAATTAATTATAAGAGTTTTATAAATAAAAAAATATTATATAACTAAAATTTAATATTAAAAATTATTATTTAAAATCAAATTCGGAGAATAGATACCTTGAAATAATTATTGGAAGTGGACTTGATCGGGATAATAATTTTTCTATGTAGATCTTAGTTGAACTCAATTACGTGGAGGAACTCTAACGCGTGGGTGTCCATGGTGGTTTTTATTTAAAGAATGATAACAAGTGAGGAGGGGAGTTTACAAAGTGAGGCAAAGAAAAGTTTCAGCCAAGAAGAAGATGATGGTAAGGCTCCCATCTCTTTGCTGCTAGGACCAAATCAAGTGTGGAATTGGCACCATCTTGATCTTAACAGCTGAATTTGAGAAAATGCCATCAAAATTTGCAATTCCTAATTTCCAGATTTGGTTCACCCGAGAAGAGAAGTCTCTGTTTGTGGAATTGGGCTAGGATCAAGCTGCAATTAGCCATGCAAGGCCAAGGCATCCACTCTTTTCTCCACGCGTCACGCGTCCCTGACACCGATTCGTCTTTCCACTGTCCCCACTCAGACCCCTTTCCTCACGTTTTTTCACTTTCCATGCGGACGTAATTTCAGGAATTTTACATCATTCATTCAATTTCAACACGTCCTCTCCTCATCCCACGTGGCCAGATCCCATCGGCTACCGACAACAGACAACTCCTCGGCGCACTCTCTGCTAGTTTGCGCCGCCCTCCCTGCTCGCTCCTTAACACGCGCTCTCCTTCTCTCCTTCCAGTTTCCAGCTCCCTATTTCAGTCAAAATATTTTCCGAGAAAGTTCCCACCCAGAAAGAAAAACAAAAAAATAGAAAAAGAAAGAAAATCCCCAGCAAGTCCTTGCCTCCAAATCCGAATTATCTCTTCTATATTTCTACTTCGTTTCGTTGATTAAGTTCATCCAAAAGATCCGTAACCAGATCAAAGACCATCTCTCATTTTTGACTCCTTCTGATTCTTGCAGATAAATTCCCTCTCTTTTCTCAACTCTAAATATTCAGTTTTCCCTTTTTTTTTTTACTATTCGGTTCAATTTCATGCCATTTTATTGTATTTATTAAGTTCTGCAGTTCCTGTCTTTGGGGTTTTATTTGTGATCTGCTTTTCAATCTTTGGACTTACTGTAGCTTTCATTTTAAGCGTAAGAGTCGAGATTTAGGGTTTTGGGGTTTTTAATTTTCCTTGTTCATTTGATAGCTTGAAATCAAGTGAGAAAGGTGGGTTTTTTATGTGTGGGATCTGTTGATTAGCGTTCGATTGAACTCTGATGAGACGCCGCCCAGTGGCGTTGGTTACTTCAGAAGCAATGGAGAAGGGTTCCCCTAAGAATCAACAAACCCGGCTCTGTTTATTAGCTTCTTTATCAGCTTTTTTCTGGATTTTGCTTTTGTATTTCCATTTTGTAGTTCTGGGAGGTAACACTGCAGTTGAGGAATCAGTTATATTAGAACCAGTCAAATTAGAATCTCCTTTTGTTAATGTTGAGTCCATCCCTGCTCGGGTGACCGATGTCCGTATTGAGAAGGAGAAACCACATTTGGAACCCGTTAGGAATACAGCTGCTGAAAGGGTGGTGAATTACCCGTTTATGAGAGCTTTGAGGACGGTGGAAAACAAGAGTGATCCATGCGGGGGAAGGTATATTTATGTGCATAATCTTCCTCCGAGGTTTAATGAGAACATGCTTAAGGAGTGTAAGAGTTTGAGTCTTTGGACTAATATGTGTAAGTTTACCAGCAATGAAGGGCTTGGTCCCCCACTTGAGAATGTGGAAGGGGTGTTTGAGAATACCGGGTGGTATGCCACAAATCAGTTTGCAGTGGATGTGATATTCAATAATCGGATGAAGCAGTATGAGTGCTTGACGAATGATTCTTCAATTGCAGCTGCAATTTTTGTGCCCTTTTATGCGGGGTTTGATATTGCAAGGTATCTTTGGGGATACAATATCTCGAGGAGGGATGCTGCTTCCGTTGATTTGGTCGATTGGCTGATGAAGAGGCCTGAGTGGGGCATAATGGGAGGAAAGGATCATTTTCTGGTGGCGGGGAGGATTACATGGGATTTCAGGAGATTAACTGATGAGGAATCTGATTGGGGAAATAAGCTTCTGTTTTTACCTGCTGCAAGGAATATGTCGATGCTTGTGGTTGAGTCAAGTCCCTGGAATGCAAATGATTTTGGCATTCCATATCCGACCTACTTCCATCCTGCAAAGGATGAGGAAGTGTTTGTCTGGCAAAATCGGATGAGAAATTTGGAGAGAAAGTGGCTGTTCTCTTTTGCTGGTGCACCACGTTCCGGAAACCCCAAGTCAATAAGAGGGCAGATCATCGATCAATGTAAGAATTCAAAAGTGTGCAAGTTGTTAGAATGTGATTTTGGGGAGAGCAAGTGTCATTCCCCAAGCAGTATAATGCAGATGTTCCAGAGCTCCCTGTTCTGCCTACAACCCCAAGGAGATTCATACACACGGCGATCTGCTTTTGATTCAATGTTGGCAGGTTGTATTCCTGTCTTCTTCCATCCTGGCTCAGCATACACACAGTATACTTGGCATCTTTCTAAAAACTATACTACATATTCAGTGTTTATCCCAGAGGATGATATTCGTAAAAGGAATGTTAGCATAGAGGAGAGGCTGAGTCAAATTTCGCCCGAGCAAGTGAGGATCATGAGAGAGACGGTTATAAATCTAATTCCAAGGCTGATATATGCAGATCCTCGCTCTAAATTGGAGATTCTTCGAGATGCTTTTGATGTTGCTGTACAGGCAGTCATTGACAAAGTTACAAGGTTGAGGAGGAACATTATCAAAGGTCGTACAGAATATGATAACTTTGTGGAGGAAAATAGTTGGAAATATGACTTGTTAGATGAAGGACAGCGTGAGGTTGGAGCTCATGAATGGGATCCTTTCTTCTCAAAACCAAAGGATGAGCAGAGAGATCAATCTGCAGAAGCTGCGAAAAATTCTTGGAAGAATGAGCAGAGAGATCAATCGTAATGGGAACTCATGAAGCACTATATAAATTTAACTGAAGCTCAATGCACCCTCAGAGTCTCAAAACTAAAGTTACCGTTTTGAGTTGGGTAGATTGCAGGTGTAACCTTGTGAAGGCCTTATCGTGCATCAACTACAGACACTGCCACCAAGCATAATAAGCCTGAATCCTTGTTTCAAACTAAAACATAGATAAATGTTCTCTGCACCAAACACAGCCCTCTATATAGAATTTTCTCCTTTTGAGTTACTATTTGCTTAGTGATTCTTTATAATGTATTGTTGTAGCTGAGATTTTGTCAGTTTGTCTGTCTATGTTCCTGTCTTATCAATGCATCCAAGAAATAATAACTAATAACCGGTGTTTTTTGCTTCGTCGTGGGATTTGGGAATAAACTTTTCCGTACTCTCAACCATTTTATTGAATTCCTTTTGCTGCAAAGTTATAAAACTGGGCATTGGCTATATGAGTCAATTTTAACAAGATGATTATATTTGTTAACCTTTAATCTGTTGAAGTACATCAAGTTGATCAGGATAAACTTTCCATGTTTTCATGGAGATTGTTCATCGTATACTGTCGCTATTTTTGAGCTTGGCATTCTACTGTGTGGGACATCTTGTTTTGAGTAACTGAATTACATTAACCCGGAAGAACACAGATGGAAAATGCATCTGGTTTAGATGAAGAAATAATTGGAGCCAGCAAATCCACACATGGGCCTTACGCCCCACATCTTCCCCAAGTTATAGACTTGCTCGAGGTCTTTTGTCTTTTTTCTTTTCTTCATTAAATAGGAGTTTGCTTGCTTGCAGCCTTGAAGGTTCACTTGGGCTTCCCACCGAAAGAATTATAAAGAACAAAGCCTAAAAATAAATATTGGAAAATATGTGGGTTTAAGCTGTGATTTAACTGTCAATGTCCAAGCTGACAGCACAGCACACTGCTGAACCTCCCCGTTGCTTCAACTGATGAATTCACACCCAAGTTTCTTCTCCGGGGTCAATAACCGGGGCTTATGTATTTAGCTGGTATTCAGTTTGAAGGTATCATATCTTATTAGGACATTAGAATTTTAAATAAAGGAATTAACCACCCAAATAAAACAAAGCAATAAAGACAAAGGAATATAAATCCTGGGCAAAAGACAGGGTGCAATTGAAGGCGTCTGCTAGCATTTAAGGCCTTTAGCTACGTTTTACTTGAACTTTCTCACTCTGTTTCTTTATATTTTCCCCTTTCAAGAAGGCTCACATACTGATGGAATGATGTTGAAGCAACAAGCATGTTGAAATGGTTCATAGTTTTAGAATCTAACGGCTGTATACGTAAACTAAATGAAGAGCTCTTATATTTCGTTTTAGAATTAAAACGAAGCATAACATCTCGTGAGGCCGAGAGCTGGTGCTTCAGCTCCCTCCAAAAACCCAGCAGAGCCCTCTCTTCCTGGCACAACAAAGGATCCCCGTGATGAAGAGCTCTTGTACTTCACGAGTTTCATATTCTCACCCAGAGCTCAAACATGTCTCCCAAACCAGGTTTGAACTCTCTTCTGCTCCTTCAAATACCCCCCGCCTCCTCTGCAAGTTCCTTCATCGAATTCCAAGTAGCATCGTCTCAACTTCTCCATGGAAGCTAAAATGCAGCTTTTGTGGTCAACCCTTTTTCTCTACTGGGTTTCTATCCGTGCAAACACTCTTCAGACTTACATAGTTCAGTTGCATCCGCAAGGTGTAACCGGCTCACTGTTTCCTACTAAGCTTCAGTGGCATCTCTCATTTCTTGAACAAACTCTTTCCTCCGAGGAAGACCCTTCTTCTCGTCTTCTCTACTCTTATGGTTCTGCCATGGATGGTTTTGCAGCTCAGCTAAGTGAAACTGAGCTAGAGTTGTTGCGAAGTTTGCCTGATGTTGTTGCAATTAGACCTGACCGGCTGCTCCAGATTCACACTACTTATTCGTACAAGTTCTTGGGGCTTAGTACGACTAGAGATGGTGCTTGGTTTAAGTCTGGGCTTGGTCGTGGAACAATTATTGGAGTGCTTGACACCGGAGTTTGGCCAGAGAGTCCTAGTTTCAATGATCAAGGAATGCCGCCTGTTCCCAAGAAATGGAGAGGGATTTGCCAAGAAGGGCAAAGTTTCAATGCCTTGAATTGTAACCGTAAACTAATCGGTGCTAGGTTCTTTATAAAAGGTCATCATGTGTCCTCCGTGTCGCGTTCAGCAAACATGATTCAGGAGTATATATCACCCAGGGACTCCTCTGGACATGGAACTCATACATCATCCACAGCTGGAGGAGTTTCTGTTCCAATGGCAAGCGTGCTTGGTAATGGTGCTGGTGAGGCCCGTGGAATGGCCCCTGGAGCCCACATTGCTGTCTACAAAGTTTGCTGGTTTAATGGCTGTTATAGCTCTGATATCCTAGCTGCGATGGATGTTGCAATTGCGGATGGAGTTGATGTGCTTTCACTCTCACTAGGTGGCTTCCCATTGCCACTTTTTGATGATAGCATAGCCATTGGCAGTTTTCGAGCAGTAGAACATGGAATATCAGTAGTCTGTGCTGCTGGAAACAATGGCCCAATGCAAAGCTCAGTAGCCAATATAGCTCCCTGGATTGCTACCATTGGTGCTAGCACACTCGACCGAAAGTTTCCAGCCATAGTTCGGATGGGCAATGGAGAATTCATTTATGGAGAATCTGTATACCCAGGGAACAGGTTACGGAGTGCCGACAAGGAACTTGAAGTTGTCTACCTCACCGGTGGGGACAGCGGAAGTGAATTTTGTTTCAGGGGGTCACTCCCAAGGGCCAAAGTAGGGGGCAAAATGGTTGTTTGTGACAGAGGTGTAAATGGAAGGGCAGAAAAAGGTATAGCGGTCAAAGAAGCCGGTGGTGCTGCCATGATATTAGCAAATACAGAGATAAACCTCGAGGAAGACTCGGTCGATGCCCATGTCTTGCCAGCAACCGAGATTGGTTATGCAGAGGCAATACGTCTAAAGGCTTACATAAACACTACCAGTCGTCCTAGAGCTCGAATCATTTTTGGTGGAACTGTCATTGGAAGGTCAAGAGCACCAACCGTAGCACAGTTTTCAGCCAGAGGGCCCAATTTATATGATTCTTCAATCCTCAAACCAGATGTGATTGCTCCAGGCGTTAACATCATTGCTGCCTGGCCTCAGAATTTAGGTCCCACTGGTCTTCCAGAAGATGCTAGAAGAGTTAATTTCACAGTCATGTCCGGGACTTCCATGGCATGTCCTCATGTCAGTGGAATTGCAGCTCTGATTCACTCAGCACACCCAACATGGACCCCAGCAGCTATCAAGTCTGCATTAATGACATCTGCCGATGCAAATGACCATAGGGGAGAACCAATAACGGATGGAAACAAACCGGCTGATGTTTTTGCTATTGGAGCTGGACATGTGAACCCTGATAGGGCCATCGATCCAGGATTGATATATGATATCAGACCAAATGAATATGTCATTCATCTTTGCACACTTGGATACACAAGATCAGAAATTTTTACAATCACACACAAGAACGTGAGTTGCAGTGAGATTTTACGTATGAACAGGGGTTTCAGCCTCAATTACCCATCCATTACTGTAGCTTTCAAGCAGGGAATGAAGAAGAAGATGATCACAAGGCGACTTACAAATGTGGGAAGTCCTAATTCCATCTACTCAGTGGAAGTGAAGGCTCCTGTGGGAGTCAAGGTGAGAGTCAAACCTCAAAGGTTAATATTCAAGCATATCAATCAAAGTTTGAGTTACAGAATATGGGTAAAATCAAGGAAGAAAACAGAAACAAAGAAGATAAGCTTTGCAGAAGGGCAGTTGACATGGGTGAATGCTCACAATAACTTCTATAGGGTTCGAAGTCCCATTTCAGTCACTTGGAAGTAGCAGCAGCTCAGCAGCTAGTTTTACTAGTTCTTATTTTAATTTCTTATTGGGATAGCTTGAAAGAATTGATGTTTTATCAATACTTGAGTTGAGAGTATTCCATGTTTATGTGCGTAGAAAATTGGAAAAAAAATATTGGCAAAAGCCTCTTCATCATCAAAATGAAGAGTGAAGTGATAACAATAACTTCCATTTTATAACAAACAATTGGACTTTCGAGCTCTTACTAAACATGTTCCATATCATTTTAGTTTCCTGTGAACAGTCATCTATCAAGAACTATTAAGTAACAACATTGTTACTTAGAACATCCACGCAGTGCATTTCTGGCTGTTATTTCCACGTTCATGTAGAACAACTAAATCTGTCAATCAATGTGAAGGAGGAAGAGAAATTGTTAAGAATGCCTGATTGAGCTCCTTGGTGATCTGCAGTTCATCTAACAACAGCACATTATGTAACTGACCCGCAAAACATCTCTTCTGAGATATCCAGCTCTGATAACATAATCCTAGTTAGTTATCAAATGAAGAATTACCAGCAGTCATCTTGACAAGCATGCAAATGAAGTGTACAAAATGAGCATAGAACAGACCACAAAACTTTTTTGGCTAAAAGGAAGTGATAAAGTTATTTTCATGAAACCTGCTGGGATCTAACCCATTAAGGCATCTGCATAAAACCTACATGGGATTTAACCCAGGCTTCAAGTTGCACTTGACAAAACTTACACAACACCAACGAGGAGACTCAGGGAAGTGAAGAGTACGACAAGAGAAGAATATACATTGCCTCATTTTTTGATGAACTGCAAACCATTTTCATTAGAATACCGCTCCATGAATCTCATGAACCTGTCCCACTCTCGGGGAGAACGCATTATATACTTTGCTTCAATTCCTGCAGGCTTCCCATTAACAAACTTGGCATTCACATCAACAGACTGAAGAACCCCTTCCTCATCAATCATGTAAAAACCAGTGATGTCACCAACTTCACCCGATGAGTCAAAAACAGACGGTTGCTCAAATCTGAATACAGCAACGCCATTAGTACCATCTCTTGACTTGGTTAACCTCACATCCGGTATTGTCTGCTCATCAGTTCCTTGAATGAACTGAATTGTTGGTTTGACCATCATTGTTATTGGTCCACATTTCCGAGAGTTCCATCTTGTTGGAGACAGCCGTGAATGGGCCAACTGTAAAGATTGCCCATTGAAGAGCGAATTCGCACTCCGGTGAACAATCCAAGATGGTATTACTGCATAATATTAAAAGGCATTACACGAGTTACGTTTAATACATCAAACTGCATGGAAATAGAGCTTCTACCACTTCTTACCAGCAAGCTACTAAGCATGTTTAAGAATCTCGCATTCTATACCCTTCAAGGAAATAGACAATTAAAATCGTATATTGTTAAATCTAAATATTCATCCCTTGCCAACTACTTTCTTTTTCTCAACATGAGCAAGCACAGAGTCAATTTGGAATTGGCCTACTTCTTGTCATTTTCACAATGAATCGTCCATCTCTCCAGGCTTCTGTTCTATTGGCTTGAAAAAGTACGTTGCCAGTTGTAAACGTTAAACCCTCATTTTAGGATCTAGCATTCCTCAAATATTTCATTTCAGGTATAATAGAACCTTTTGAAATTAAAAAATATATATATTTATAGAAGGAAAATTGAAAATAAAAGTTGACAAAATATATACAATAAATAGGATTACCCATTACTACATAAAGATAATTTTTAACAGATATGGATTTGAATCTCTTAATCCTATTAATCCTAATTTACTAAATTTTATCATCAAATTTTCTTAAAATAAATAAAAGCAAAAATGTTGCATTTTATTGTGACAAAATAATAAGTTGAGGCCTAAGATGAAAAATTAGAGAAACTTGGATTTTAAGACCAGCATTTAACCAAACTTATCCATAAACATATATAACAGATAAATCAGTAAATCAAATTGACTGGCAAACATAATAGTTGAACTCAAAGAATGTATGAAATTTGTAATTGAAAGATAAAAGTTTAAAGGAAACAACGCTCATGCAACCACAAATCAAATTAAAGCATTCCCATATGCCAAGTTATCATTCATTGCATTTGGGAAACAGGTGGATAGTAGGTACCTGAAAGAGAACGGGGTTGGTTGAGCAAGGTGTGAGAGACAGCAGAGGCAAACGCCAGGGAATGAAGAGTTGCCATTGTGGGGAGAAGGGAGAGAGGGAAAGAGGGTATGGAAGACAGTTAAAAGAGATTCTAGTTGGTGAGTCGGTGTGGTGAATGGACAGAGATGGTGTGTAGCAAGGACAGCCATTCACTTGAGAGTTTGGATTAGTGGAAGAGACATCAGGCACAGCGTGTCCATGCAAAGCATTGCCTGGCGCTGGCACCGGCGGGCAACACAAATATATCACAATGCTGAGCCTTTCAGCCCAACTATTGAAAAAATCAGTGGGTCAGGGCTTTGAGCTTCTTTTAATAATCAACAAAAGGCCCATGTGCATATGCAAGCACTGCCTCCGATTGGTATGCCTCACACTGCGGGCCTCGACACTCAAGAAGCCTCCAATGTGTTTGTACCCCTTTGCCTAGGGTTATGCAAATGATTAGTTTGGTATGCGTAGATTCCACGTTGAGATTTTCTTTTTTTTTTTAATAATTGAGATTTTTTTAATTTTATTTTTTAATTGAATAATAAAGAAGGAAGAATGAAGAATTTTATTTTGTTTTTTGAACTCAAAGCTCACTTATCTTCATCAAGTAAATGTATAAACATAGCATCCGCCCTCAATATAATTGTTTCCTTTAATTAAAGCATTGCTAATAGAAAATATGGAGTTAATATTATGTACTTTGATCTTGTACTTTAATTATCTAAGTTAAGAAAACCCCCAAATTGCCCCCTCGTAATACAAGTATTATTTACTTCAATTAGTTTGATTAGGAAAATTCTAAATCAAAAATCAAACCGATTTAACCGTTTTAATTGAACTTAATTAATCAAAATAATCGAATACCGAAATAACCGAACTCACTTCGATTCAATTCCCTTTAAATTTGTGCGTCCCTATTTTCACTTTTTACATTGCAAAATAGTAATACTATTATTATTATTATTATTATTGCATTTAAAGACATTTTAATCCATCATTTCGTTCCCACTTAATTTTAAGTTCAAAATATCACTTGTTTAGCCATTTTGCATTTATGAATATAATTTATTGAACTTGAAAATTCATTAACTCTTTATAATTGTTAATGGATATGTATATCCAAGAAACATATACGGTTAAAGTCTCATAAAGAGAGAAAAATACTAAGTTTTAAAGTCTTAAAAAGAACAAATAAAGAGAGAAAAACATTGGAATTGAGAAATTGAAGTAAAGATACCAAAAGATTGAAGACATAATACTTAAAAAAGTTTTTAAATTATTTAAGAAAATTTAAATAAATTTTTATTTTTTTATTATATTCAATTAAGTTTATATATTTTTATTTTGAATTAAATAAGTCTTTATAACTAAAGATTGACTAATTATCATTAATTAAAATGCTACTTGTCATTTTATACTTACCTAATATTAACATAACATTAATGTGGAAGGCGAAAGATGTCACATAATCATGGTATCATATCATATCAATATAACACATTATCATCCATTTATAACATGTGAATGTATTATATCAACACCACTTGATATAAAATAAAAGTGATGTTTTGACTAATAACAGTTAATCAAACTACCAACACATTATACATTAAACCATATAAAATAGAGTTAATGCTTGAGATAGAGATAATATTTTCCAACTTTGTCAAGCTAGCTCTGAACCACATTTTCCACAATCACCAAGTTGTTGCTAATATTCCATTAATTATTGCTAATTAGCCTTAATTTGTTTCATGTTTTGATTGTGCATTGGGTCACTTCATTTTTCCTTTTTTCTTTTCCCTTGTCAATTTGACCACGCAACTCATCAAACTAGGTTGCTATGCTAACCTCAAAAATAAATGCATAACATGGTTTTCATTCTCCTTTTAAGTTAATCAATTTTTAACAATAATTATTAATTCACGCCAAGTTTTGATGACGGTTTATTATTTATATTTCTAAATTATCATTTTAAGTTGTAAATAAGAATTTCAATTGTATTGAACGACTTTTATTTAAATAATTTTATCTTAAACATTAATAAAATTTAACAATTTGTAAATAAGAATTCTAATTGCATTCAATAACTTCCATTAAAACAATAATATTGAATAATTTATAAATTAATATCATTTTAATAATATATATTTTGAACTTTACATTTAAAAATATATATTATTATTTAGAAATAAATAAAAAATAAGTATTCACTTGCAAACGCAAGCGACAACAAATACTATTATCTTTAAAAGTATATTTGATAAAAATTAATATATATAGTCACACGCATTACACAAGAATACTTATTTTTATATTTATTTTAAAATAGCATTTTTTTATAAAATAAAAATACTTCTAAAGTATAAAATTAATTGTTTATAAATATAATATAATTATAATTGAAAGATAATTATATATAAAAGACAACTCATATTTCAATTATATATAATTGAACTTTTGCAATATTAAACTATATATTATTTAATACTATTAAAATTGGAAAAAAAATCTTTTTAATGAGAAGCATCCAATATATTTAGAATTATTATTCACAACTCAAATAAATTTATTAATATTTGCTATGAAAAATGTTTTTAATGAAATTCTTTTAATGCAATTAGAATTTTTATGTATTACAAATTTGACAAATCTTATTAATGTTAATAATAAAAAATATATAAAATAACAATTTATAAATCTCAAAACAAATATGACCGTTTTGGTTAATTAACAAGTTTTTTCAACATATAGATATTTTTTATATATTATAGATTAATTACTACTTATATATTTTTTAAATTTCAGTGATTAACCAAGCGAAAGATACGTGATAATCTCTATATTACCTTTTTTTCCTCTTCTTTTTTCATTAATCAAAACTATCATTTCCTCTTTAAAACTTAAAACCTACCCTCTCCTTTTGTTTCTATTTTCTTTCCTAAACATAGGGTTAGGGGCACTAATTACCCCAAAGAAAATACAAAACTAGGGCCTAACGTAATGGGAGCATATGAAACACAAGTAAAAGGACATCATATCACTAGAAGAAGAAAATAAGATATTAAAGCATGCTACTTTGAAATTTTCTAAAAGAAACAAGTTCGTTTAAAACAATAAACACGAGAAATATTAAATAAAATGTTCACTCGTTCTACAATCAACTGTTATATGTGATCACTTCAATTGTCATTTACATAAATAGAAATATCAATTGATATTGATTGATTATTAATTTTATCTTAAAATTAAAGATTTATGTGATGTCAATCAAGGGATAATAGTTTTTTTTATCATAAAATGAAATAATATAGAAGGTTTCATCTTTAGTATTTAGACCTACCTAAAAACAAGAATACTTGAAGGCATTATTCGCCGAATAAGGCTGTGTTTGTCGCAACAAATCTAGGGACAAAAAAATACAAGCCTAATTCTGTCATCTTCTGATATTACATGGACTGAAACTTTGAATAATATTTGAAAATATTTTTGAATTATTTAAAAAAATTTAAAATTTTTTTATTATTTTATTACATTTAATTAATTTTTTATATTTGATCAAATAAATTATTATAACTAAAAATTGATTAATTTTCATTAATGAAAATATCGCTTGTTATTTTATATCCACATAATAGTGATGTAAATGGTGAAATATACTATGTCATGTTATCATTTATTATAACAAGTCAGAATAATATGTTAATGTCACATGTAATAGAATGAAAATTGACATTTTGAACATTTTGACTAATAACAGTAAATCAATCATTAGTTATACAAATTTATTTGGGTGAAAAAAAATTTAAGGATTTGATTAAATGTTATAAAAGAATAATGACTTATTTAAAAATTTTTAAATAATTTAGGAGGTTTTTTTAGGTATTATGATTTTTTTTCTTTCTTGTTTTACATTATTTTCCAGGTAGTAATATAAAACAAGAATTTGATTAAAATAAAATATTATTTTATTTTAATATCACTATTTTTCATAAGCTATTGATTAAAATCGAGATTAAGAATTAACCGTTTTCTTGGTTAATTAAAGTAGGGCACATTTTCTATCTTGGTAATTGTGAAGAGTTGTTATCAATTTATTTATTTAAATATGATTAGTCACTTAATTGAGTTTTTATTTTTAATAAAAAATTTAAATTTGAGTTAGGCTCATTAGAAAATGTAGATTTTCATTTACAAAGCAGAGAAATTTAGGATTCGAGAACCTAAGATTTTTGAAGAAATTTATTATTGTAATTTTCTTGAAAAATTTTATCATCAATAAGATTCTCATTTATTTTCACTCTTTAAATGCTTGTGATGCAAAAAATCATAATGCAATTTTTAAATTATGGAATATATAAGTAATTTGTTCTTTTGTTTTTATTTAATCATATGCTAAAATTTTATTTTTCATTTCTATTTTCCATTTCATTTTTTTAATTTTTACTTTCTTTGTTTTGTTTTTATCTTTATATACATTTATGGTAATTTTTTATGATTACTGAATTTAATTCTCAAGTTGGAATATATGTTTTAATATGTATTATTTTTTGGAAGACTCTCAAAAATATTTGGTGGAACTCACCAAATTATTCAGTACCTTAAGAGATTTTTTGAAAAAAGATCCTAGCAAAATCCCTAAAACATTTCTATTTTTGAGGAACTTTAGAATAAATATATTTAGTATTATTAGTTGTTCATGCATGTTAGAACCAGTAATCCTAATTAATTAACATTAAACATACAGATATACATATTTGCGAATATATTTTACAAATGATGAAAAGAACACATTTTTAATTGGCCTTCAACGTTGTTATAAGGCTTGGTTTTTTGAAATGGACCTCCACTAGGGCATTTGGATTGGTCCCAAGAAATGTGGATCGCATTAGGCTAGTGACGGCTTCTCCTTTACCCTTTCTTTTTAATATTATCATATTATGAAATATAATTTAAAAGAATAAATTAAAATAACTTAAAAGAATAATTTTTAAAAAAATAACTATAAAAAAAATTTAGACGGAGAAAGAAATCTTATTGAAGTGTGTCTTTATAAATGAAGTGAGAGACGTATTTATAGACCAATAACCCTTTATTTAAATGAAATTTACAACATGAAAATAGTACTAATAGATTAGATGGATAGATTAAATTCTAATGTTAATCCAATTTAATTTACATCCAAATCTAGATATAAATAACAT